CAAGGATTAGCAACGTATTGTTTGAATGCAATAGAAAATTTTAAAGAAAAAGGTATTGTTATTGGCTATGATGGTAGACATAATAGCAAACGATTTGCTCAATTAGCATCGTTAGCCTTTGTATCAAAAGGTGTTAAAGTTTATACTTTTTCTGCCGTAGTTCCTACACCATTTGTTGCATTTTCTGTACTTCAATTGAAAACTGGATGTGGGGTAATGGTAACAGCATCACATAATCCAAAGGAAGATAATGGTTACAAAGTCTATTGGGAAAATGGAGCACAAATTAATACTCCACATGATAAAAAAATTCAAGAATTTATTGTTTCCAATCTGGAGCCTTGGGAAACTGCTTGGGATACGACACTTCTAACTTGTAGTCCACTTGTCCATGATGTTCTTGAGGATATCAAGACAAAATACTTCCAGAATATACAAGCATCTGTTATTGACAAAGCCATTAATGAAAGTTGCAATTTGAAGTTTACATTCTCAGCAATGCATGGTGTATCCCATCCTTATATGATTGAAGCATTCAAAGCTTGTGGATTCAACCATTATGTACCAGTGGAAGCTCAAAAAGATCCTGATCCTGAATTCCCAACGGTCAAGTTTCCGAATCCTGAAGAAGGAAAGAGCGCCTTAGATTTATCTTTTAAAACTGCGGATGAAAATGGATGTCCACTTATTTTTGCTAATGATCCTGATGCTGATAGATTAGCTGTAGCGGAGAAACAAGAAACTGGAGAATGGAAAGTCTTCACTGGAAATGAAATTGGAGCACTTCTAGGTTCCTGGCTGTGGAATTGTTATCAATCCAAACATCCTGATTGTGATCCAGCAAACATCTACATGATCTCCAGCGCAGTTTCTTCCAAGATCCTTAAATCCATTGCAAAAGCAGAAGGCTTCCATTTTGAAGAGACACTAACAGGATTCAAATGGATGGCAAATAGAGCTCAGCAACTTGTTGAACAAGGCAAGAAGGTTCTTTTTGTCTTCGAGGAAGCCATTGGATTCATGTGCGGTACTTCCGTATATGACAAGGATGGAATCAACGCAGCCATGCAGATGGCTCAGCTGTCTGCTCATATTTATCCAAAAGGAATCAACCTCAACAAACAGCTTATAAACATCTACCAGAAATATGGCCTTCACAAGAGCATCAACTCCTACTTCATTTGTCACCATGCACCGACCATCGCAGCACTCTTTGAAAGTATCCGTACAAAGGGAGCAGAAGGAGGACTTCCAAGCAAACTGGGAAACTACAAGATCACAGGTTGCCGCGATCTCACTTTCGGTATTGATACCACTCAACCAGATAACAAACCAATCCTTCCTTCCAGCAAATCAAGCCAGATGATCACTTTCTACCTAGAGAACAATACCCACGTAACTCTGAGAACAAGCGGAACTGAACCCAAGATAAAGTATTACATTGAGCTCTGTGCACTACCCAACCAAACCGACTGGGCTGCTTTACAAGCCGAGGTAAGCGCCATTGAGACATTGGTTATCCAGGAACTGCTATGTCCTCAGCAATTCCAACTCATCGAACGCCAGAGCTGAACTCTTCCAAGTGGTGAACTTTTTATTATTATTTACCTTCTATTTATCTATATAAATCCTTTATATATTTACTTTATATATATAAAAAAATGACACAATTCCAACTCAAAACCTAATTGTTATTTTAACCTATTCAAGACTTCTGCCTAAATGACAAGATTACTTCTTGAAAAGGTTAAAAAGTGACTGTTGTTAACTTTTTATTTTATTATTATTTTTTTAAAGTTCCTTTTATTATTATTTTTATTACCTCTTGTTATTTTTTGTTTGTTTTAATTTTCTTTTAAAAGTCATTTTTGAAAAAAAAAAAAATTTTTAAACCTTTTTTTTTTTTTTTAAACCAAAAATTTTATTATTATTATTTTTTAATTGCATGTTGTGGTTTGTTTGTTGGCTTTTTTTTATATATTAAAATTTTTTTTTTTTAATGGGGGAATTTTTTTTTATGCGTTTTTTTTTTAAATATTATTATTATTATTATTTTTTTAGTAGGTTTTAGTGAGTCTTTTTTTTTTTCCCCTCCAAAGTTCTATTCTTATATAAGCTCTACCTCCTGTGGAATTGAAAGATCTTCCAAAGAATGCCTTCTCCTCATGCCATAGCATATTTGTGTCTCTATACTAGATTAGATCATTTTTTGTTATTGTTGTTCTACATTTTGAATAACAAAATGGTCTCAATACAGCAATCTTTAGAATATAAATTACAAATAAATAATTCCACATTGATAGATTTGTACTGTCTGAATCAATAAAATTAATTTCAAATAAATTTGTTGTTTCTATTTTTTTTTTTTACAATGTCTTCTTCTTTCTTATCTCCACTCAATCATATTAGGATATCAAGTTGTGAACCTTGATGGTGTCTGTTTGACAACCATCATGACTGGATGAAGTAGAATGTGTCTGCCTTTGTTATTAAGACTGGAAGCACTACTCAGTGGCAGGCCGACTTAGCTCCAAAAGAAATGGCCGCCTCTGACATGAGGAACAGACGCCATGTGCAGCTGCTACAAACATGGAGTACAAATGCTGTTCATCCTGTATCCCTGGATTAGGAGCCCTTACAGGGTACTATCAGCCGGGACAGCTGAGCCCAGGTTTTTTAGTGAGCTTGTTACTGCTCCCCCTCCTCCTTTTTCATCCGGGCTTGGGACCAGCAAAGGCAGAGTTTTTTACAATGTAATAAGATACAGTAGAACCTCTCTGTAAAGGACAGCACCTAGTTGTAGAGTCAAAATGTCTTTTAAGGAGAGGTGTCCTTTTACTGGAGAGTTGCTAAATAGTAAAAATGGTTGATGAGGCACAATTTAGATTGTAGATTATAAACACAAGGTAATAAGACCAAATCCAAATAAATAAATAGTGTGTGACGTTTCGGTAACAGCGTTGTTACCATCTTCAGACAAAAGTACTCATTCGGTACTTTTGTCTGAAGATGGTAACAACGCTGTTACCGAAACGTCACACACTATTTATTTATTTGGATTTGGTCTTATTACCTTGAGTAAAAATGGTAATTTTGAAAAACTGTCCTTTATAGAGAGGTGTCCTCTCATGGAGGTTCTACTGTATATATACTTTGGATTATAGATTAGAAACACGGGAGGTAATAAGATCAATTTATGAATTTGGATTTGGTCTTATTACCTTTCATAATGATAAAGTACAATTCGGATTATAGATTAAAACTACAAGGTAATAAG